TTCTCCTGCCTGCTCGGCTTTTCTGGGTTCCGCGGACGTTGCCCGCTGGAGTGGCGGTCTATCTCTTTACAGTGATTTGCAGCACTTTCGCGGCGACGATGTGACTTTTGGCGTCTGGACTGCCGCGATGCAAGTCGATCGGCTCGAGTGGCCGTTCTTTGCAGATGCCAATGATCCGCTTCCATGATTCGCCTAACCCCATGTACTTTTTGAACTTCCTCGTCATTTGTTATCATTGTACCAGTATTTAAGATCGCTTTCCCGTCCTTTTTGTGTTTGGGTTCAGTTCTCGTATTGTACACACAATGAAGGTTGACGTTCGCGACCCGACCACAGCTGCAGTCGAGCAGTTCCTTGCCGACCTCAAGCGCCGGTAACCCAATCCTCCTCCATTACAATGCATCACGATGCGAGTTTTAGAGTTGAGCGTTGAGTAGTCGTCGTCGTTTGAGGTTGACCCTTGCCGTCCATCCATCCATGTGTCGTTTTGGCTGGAACAAGCTGAAACTCTTGCAGATCTCGTTTCTATTGTGGATTTGCTTTGCCTGGGAGGGTCACCCTCAAACCCCAGTCCGAACCCCCCCCCCCACTCACGCAGTCGTAGCAAACACTCACTCACACAATGCCGTTGTTGCGTTGTTGCGTTGTTGCTTGGCTGGCTTCGTTCAGGTCGATTCGTGGCTCGTATGAGATTGCGAGGCAGACGCTGCTGCTCGCTCGCACGACCGTCTCGCAGACACGCTGGACCACAGCAGCCGAAATCATGCTCAGGTAACTTGTTGAAGCGTATTGGCAAGAGCAAGAGTCCGGAGCGAAACGGGGACGGAGGGGATGCGGCAACCATGACGAAATCGTCTCCGTCCAATGCAACGCCCAGCCAAAAGCCAACATGCATGCTCACTTTGTTGTTGCACCTTTGGGGGGGGGGGAATTCAATGATGACAGATTGCGTGAGATTGGACAGCGTCTTGCTTTGGCTGCACCAAGTGGTAAGCAAGGGCGCAGTTGATCCAAATTCTCATTTGCTGCGTCTCAACGCTCAACCGCGGCTCACTCGCTCGTTTGGTCTGCAGAAACTACCATTGGCAATATCATTCGCCGTGTGCTGCACATCATCCGCGAGGAAGTCCATAACGGCGACAAGCCATTGGCCGACGGCACACCGCAGTTCCCGCCACAAACCATCATGCCGCTCGATGCGCAGCAACCAGCGTCGCCGAGCCCGCTTCGACAAGACTCGCTCGTTGGTTCTGGAGCAGGCACTGGCACGACAACCACTCCCGAGCCTCGTCCATCGGTCAGAGTTTTTTCTTCTTGTTTTTGTTTGTTTGTTCGTTTTGTTCTCTGTCGCTTCTTTGCAGTCTTGTTTTTGGTTTGTTTTTGATTCGATCGTTCTCTTCTCCTCGTGCTTTGAACATTCCTTGGGTGCAGGTTGTGACTGCTACCAATATGGCTCTGCTGGGCGATTTGCTTTCAAGCAACATGAACGATGACTACTCAAAGTAACAACCAGTTTTTCTAATGGGTTTCTTGTAATTTTCCCCGTTGCTCATTGTCAAAAACAAATACCCTCTTCCTTTTGGTGACGCACGTTTAGAGCCCGAGCAAATCTCAAGGGCGATGTCATCCAAGCCATCAACGAGCTGTTTGAGGAGCTTGAGGAGAGCGCCAGCAACATTTCCAAGCAGTCGCTGGAACACATTCACGTGCACGAAGTCATCATGACCATCGGCAAATCGAAGACTGTCGAAGACTTTTTGAAGGCGGCTGCACGGTGAGGCAGCTGTTCGATGTGGTATCTCGTTTTTGGTGAATTTTGGTTTAGGAAATTTTTTTTGGTCCTCACCAGCTCGTTGCATTTGTTTCGCGGTCATTACAGCAAGCGCAAGTTCCACGTTATTATTGCCGAGAGCCAGCCAGGATACCAGGGACAGGAGCTCGCGGCAAGCCTCGCAAAGGACGGCGTCCAAACAACGTTGATTACAGACTCGGCCATTTTCGCCATGATGTCTCGCGTGAATAAGGTCATTATCGGCACCCACAGCATCATGGCCGATGGTGGCTTGATGGCGCTCAACGGGTCCCACGCCCTCGCGCTTGCGGCCAAGCACCATTCTGTGCCGGTCATTGTTCTGTCCGCCATGTTCAAGCTTAGCCCCAAATTCCTCTGCTCTTACGACCAGAACACGTTCAACAACCTTGTTGCTCCGAGCGATGTGCTAAAGTTCAAAGAAGGTGAGTGTCGGCGGAGCTGAGCGAGCAAGGGGTTCAGGGAGATTGACCTGTTTTCCATGGTTGGTTGTTTGCGTCCTGTGCAGGAGATCTTGTTGGCAAGGTTCATGTGCACAACCCAGTGTTTGACTATGTGCCTCCGGAGTTGGTTACTCTTTTCATTTCCAACATGTAAGTCAGGCGAAAGGAGAGATGTTGGACAGTCCACTGCCTTTTTTTTTGTTTGTTTGTTTGTTTGGTTCTGTATCTCACGCGTTGACTTTGCTGTGTGTCTCTTGTGTCGTGATGATGCTGATGTTGATGATTTGAACAGTGGTGCCAATGCTCCCTCGTATGTTTATCGACTTCTCAGCGAGTGCTATCACACTGAAGATTATGACTTGTGATGTCGTCGTGTCCGTTATTTCGTTGTACAACATCAGCCAGTGACTGGGTTTTTTTTGCAAGTCTTAGTTCAAGAGCACGGAGCGTCGTGGTGTCCCCATCTTTGTTCAAATGCGCTGTGGCATTTGAGTCTGAGCATGACGGAAAGGCTCCATTTCTGAGCCTTGATTCTTTCCAGATTCGAACTCGGAATTCATTTTTTTCGTAGTCGGTGAGCAACAGCAGCGAGAGTAATGAACATGCATTGATTGTTAGACATAGCCAACATAAAGCGATTCAAACTGCACATCTTGGGCGGACTTGCTGGCTCGAACTTGAACCTGCCAACCTTCACGCATTTGTCGGATGACAGGATGGTTGGCTGGCAGGATTATCACAAGCTCGAGGTTCGAATCGACGACAGTCGGGTGCACAGCCCATTCGTACTGAACATCACCTTGTTCATCTTGGACAGTCAAATCGAAAACACAATCACCGGTGTTGTCAGGACGCTTGCGCCAGTCACGAAACACTTGAATTGCTTTCACACGGATTGAATTTCCTTGAGGCACAATGACTTTCAGAACGCGGTCGGGGGTATCGACATGAAACCATTCTCGTTTGGTATGCTGCACGCCTTGCCAGTAGTGCGCTTTGTCCATAATGAGCTCGGCAATCTCGGTTGGTAGTGCGGGCAGAGCTGCCGATTGATCCTCCACCGCTGGTTCGCTGGTCAGCAAGTGAAATACGTTGTGAAGGTCTTCAGCAGTTGACATTCGTGGAAAAAAGGAGAATGCAAGAGGGTTGATCTGCTTGTCGATCCTGCGCACGAACAAGCAAAGTGAATGAGCACTCAGCAGGGCGACTCCTTTGGTTGGAGCACAAATCGTTCGGACAAACAACGAACAAAAGTGTCTTCAGAATACGGTTGACATGACGCGCTTCATCAAACGCTTGAAGACCAGCATTGCCAATGCAATTTAAATGTACGCTGTCGTTTCAGGGGTGAGCAACGTATGGCAAATGAGCGAGACCAGCAAAGCATAGTGCGCAGCAACTTACTCGAGAAACGCCAGCCTCGTGTTCACTTTGAGTGCTTCAGCAATCTCCTGAGCGCCAGTGCTACCAATCTGATTCTCTTCCAGACTGTCCACATTTCCTCCATCATCCATCAGTGAACACTCCTAACACCTTCTACTTGATCACATGCACCGGCCAAAGTGAGATTCCTTACTGGAGTGCAGTCACCGCCGTGTTCGCTTTGAGTGCTTCAGCAATCGCATGTGCTCCAACATCGCCAATCTCATTGATGTCCAGACTGTCCATCCCTCGTTGAGCACTCCTAATACGTTTGACTTGACCACCCACTCACAAGCACTAGTAGATGCGAATGAACGTACTCGAGCCAAGACAGCGTCTTGTTCACTTTGAGTGCTTCAGCAATCGCGTGTGCTCCAACATCGCCAATCTGATTCTCTTGCAGACTGTCCATGTCCTCCGTCAGTGAGCACTCCTAATACCTTCTACTTGATCACATGCATCGGTCAAAGTGAGATGCCGTACTGGAGTGAAGTCACCGTCTCGTTCACTTTGAGTGTGTCAGCAATTGCTTGCGCTCCGGCACCGCCAATCTGATTATCAATCAAACTGTCCATCCCACCCTTTCCGTCGGTCAGCACTCCGAATACCTTCTACTTGATCACCTTCTCATAAGCATCAGTCAATAAGATTCAGGTTACCTGAGCGAAGACAGCGTCTTGTTCACTTTGAGTGCCTCGGCAATGATTTGCGCTCCAGCAACGCCAATCTGATTCAAGCCCAAACTATCCATCCCCTCCGTCAGCGAGCACTCGTTTTCCCTTCTACTTGATCACTTTCTCACATGTATCAATCGACAAAATTCAGCTTACTCGAGATAAGCCAGCCTCGTGTTCACTTTGAGAGCCTCAGCAATCGCTTGTGCTCCAGCTTCGCCAATCTGATTCTCATTCAAACTATCCATCCCCGCCGTCAGCGAGCACTCCGAATACCTTCTACTTGACCACCCACGCATAAGCACCAGTAGATGCGAATTGACTTACCTGAGCCAAAACAGCGTCTTGTTCACTTTGAGTGCTTCAGCAATCGCCAGAGCTCCAGCATCGCCAATCTGATTCTCACTCAGACTGTCCATCCCTTCCGTCAGCAAGCACTCCTAATCCCTTCTACTTGATCACCTTCTCACACGCATCAGTCAATAAGATTCAGCTTACTCGAGCGAAGTCGCCGTCGTGTTCACCTTAAGCGCCTCGGCAATGATTTGCGCTTCAGTATCGCCAATCTCAACACAACGCACTCTGTTCCCTTCATCTCGTCAGTCCACTCGTTTTCACATTGTCGCCATTAAACTCGAGCTTCCTCTTACTCGAGATAGTCCCTCGCATTCTTGACCTTGTCATACAACTCGCGCTGTCTCTCGGTCATATTCTGATAAGACAGCATTTTGGAAGATTTTTGAAATCAGCATAAGAGACTGCCAGTCAATCGAATCCAAAAGCAACTCGCTGTTTTACTTTGCAGATCCATGCTCGGCATTTTCGTGTCTCATCGTCGGTGAGTGAAAGCGAAAGGTGGTGAAATGGACATGCAGTTGGATTTTCGTGTGGAAACCACGCTCACCGATTCTCAGCGGACGCCCAACATTGAGATTTCGGATCAACACTGATCTTCTCCGTCTTTTTTTTGCTTTCTTTCTTTCGTTTTTGTTTTTTTTCATTTCTTGTTCCATTTCATTTCATTTCATTCATTTCTTCTTCGATACAATGTCAATGTTTGGATGGTAAACTCAAACAATCGGATTAGACTGCGACTTTGCCTTTGCATTGCATTATTTCTTATGTTTTTGTCTATTCAACTGAGGAAAAGTTCGCCAAAACGTCACTCTTTGCTTGTTTGTGCGATTGAAGCGCGAGATTGTGTATTTGCTCAAGCTGAGGAGCGGAAGGGCGAGGACAGGGGGAAGGGGCAGAGGGCAGAGAGAGGAGGCCGACTGGGAATGAATAGAAAAAAAAAAAAAGCTGCGCAATACATTCTCACTTTGACTATCAACTCTCAGCTCTCAACTCTCAACTCTGACTATCAATCTCATGCTCTGAATACTGCTGCTGAGGTAGGAGCCGGGGGGGGGGTCGGAGCAGACGAGTCGAAGCGGGGGAAGGGGACGCAGGGAACACCATCCACTTCACCCTTTGGCTTCTCCCCCCTTGTTTACATGGCATGGATTGCGTCTCATCTCACTCCGCGTCCTCGTTTTTTGTTTGCGCCACGTTGTCAGGAGGGGCAGACGGAAGCCCGCGGCGGAGGACAAGAAGGGCCAAGCTGCGTACTCGACCGAGACGATCGTCACTGGCGACCTGCAGTCCGTCGTCATGCTCCCGGACGGCGAAGACCTCAACGAATGGCTTGCTGTCAGCCGTGAGTCATTCGACTATTCAGAGTTGTGTGGACTGTCCGTTGTGGGAGGAGTTGTCGTCGTTCTGAGCTCAGTCTCAATCTCCAACCATTTGCCCTCACACGTCTACACTGACCATCCACTCCTTTTTGGCTTGAAAACTCAGTGTTGTCATTCTTTAACAACATCAACATGTACTATTCCGTCGTCTCGGAGCTATGCACAGCCCAAACATGCCCATCCATGACTGCAAAGTAAGTTTCCGCAATTTTGTTGCCTTGATTTTGCGCACCACCCCGTCATCAGGCTGCATGTGTCATTTGGACGATCAACAAGACGTAAAGTGTGTTGTGAAAGACACGCAAGTTTGCCATGACGCTCATTCATCGCTCTTTTTCACTTTGACAGCAAAACCGAGTACCAATGGACTGACGACCGAGGGCGACGGACAAAGGTGCCCGCTCCGCAGTATGTGGACATTGTCACAACCTACATTCAGAAGCAACTGACGGATGAGAACGTCTTCCCCACCAAGTTTGGTATGCATCGGCGTTTGTTGGTCTGTTTTGCTTGTATTTTTCTCCCATCACTCAACTCACCTACATCTGCCATCCACCACTTTGACCAGGCTCTCAATTCCCGAAAGACTTCCAAGCAATCGTTCGTAAAATCTTCAAGTTCCTCTTTCAAGTGCTCGCACACATCTATCACGCGCACTCGCACCAAGTCGTCGCGCTGGGACTCGAGGCGCACATTAACACGCTCTTGATTCACTTCATTCTGTTTGCCCAAAAGTTCAAGCTGCTTGAGGCCAGCGAGCTCGCCCCGCTGCAAGACTTGATCAAGCAGCTTGCCGTGTTTTAAACGGCAGCCAGCTTGAAGGTGGTCGCCATTTCTCCGACTGTTTGAGCAATGGCCCTTGTGCAAGGAGAGGTGCATGGTGGCTGTCAACTGTCCGGTTTTTTTTTTGTGTGTGGTAGTTTTGCGTTGCGTGTGGTTTTGCGAGTGTTTTGTGAAATAGTTTTCGTTCTACGTGCATGTAGAGTAGCCCAATCAAAAGAGTTTTTTGTTTCTACTTTGCATTTGGCATTCACACGGGAACATTGACGTTACAACAAGCTCGAAAAGACGGCTAACGCGCCATACAGCACAGCCCCCAGACACAGAGCCCAGAACGAACAGTCGTTGCGCTCTGGCAGTTGATTCTTGATCGTGTTCACCAAGATGGCACCCGCTAGAAAGCTGCGAATCAGCAGCACGGGCAACTCGGGCACCACAAGCAGAATTCCAATCAACCACCCCAGTAGAATCGCACTCAGGCCGAGGAATCGACCGTAACGCACATACAAGGTCCGGTGGTGCTCAATGAGCGTGGAATCGTTGACAATGTAGTGCACGAGCATGGCCACTCCGAATGCGTACAGCTCTGCCGTTCCATTCAACCGATAACGCTGGCAAGCAACGAGTTACTCAGTGAGAGATACAAGTACTTGAGCCACACACACACACACTCACACTCTGGACCCATGCTACACTCTCACCTGCGGAATGACAAGCCCGGTTAGAAAGCCAAACACGCAGAAGGTGGCCATGTGAAGGGCAAACACGCTTGTTTCGGTGCGGTCGTCTTCGAGCCGCGCGTACTTGGTCAAAGGAGGGGCTTGGTGCACCTCAATGGGATCGGTTGCGCTGGTGTGCTCCAAATGACGCAGGTGCATCGTGTTGAGCGTCTTCCACTGGGTATTGCTGAGCAACCGCTGTCGCCGGGTCGAGTTTTTGGCGCCACCATCGCCACCAAGCAACAGGTACTCGCCGCGATGGTGCGTTGCTGTATCCTCGTGCTCGTTGCTGTCGTCGTCGGAAAGGCTCGATGCGACAGGGGTGGCGGAGGTAGTCGCGACAGCAGTATTCGACCCGTGTTCTGGGCGCGGCATCTCTACTTGTGTTGTAGGAGCAAAGTAAAGCCCTCCCATGGATGTGCGAGACAGTCCCTCGACAGAGGGGGTCATTTCGAGATGGTTTGACGGCAAAGAGTTGAGAGTCACGTCGGGATCGCTGGTTGGCACGGCGCCGTAACTGCGCACCGAAGATCGACGTCGCGGGACGAGCTGGTTCCTTTCATCGCTGTCGGAAGTTGTCGGCTCAGCAGCTGTCGGCTCAGTTTGCATGAGATCGGTGGCGAGTTCTTGATCCGGAGTGCCATACGGAGTGAAATAGACAGAGCTCTGTTGCGATGCGGACGCAGACACCGCGCTGCCGGATTCTTGCGGCGGCGGATGAGCATCCGACCCTGCCACTGAAGACTGTGTTGTTGTTGTGCTAGTATTCGCATCGGGCAAATGGTGAGCTCTTTGCCAGGCAGAGGTCACTCGCGCAGTTCGCCTCAAGGTCTGCACTGCATGTTGCCAGCGGTATAACGCCCGCTTTTTGATGCGCCGCTCGCGAGATGCGTGCGCCAGTCGCTCTGCACCCTGGTAGACGAGCAGTCCGAGCAAGGCAAACACATAGACCTCCTGGTCGTTGGCAAACACAAAGTGGCCGATCGATTCAAAGCGCGCCTGTGCGCGGGAGATTTCCGGCAGACTGACCAGGAAGACATACGACAGGGTGATGCCGCCAAACAGCGACATGACGAGCTGTCGGGGAAGCTCCGTCAGCCGCTGCCAGAGGTAGCAACTGCAAACGTGTGCGAGGGCCAAAGCCAGCGCGACGGGGAAGGTAATCCCGATGGTGACAAGTTGGACTTTTGCGTCGTAAGCGCTCATCTTGTTTTTTGTTTGTTCTCTTCCCCCTTGGCGTGGTGCGCCCCCCAGCGATAGAGTTTAGAGTGAGTGTGTACAATTTACAGTCCAGGAGCGTCAAGGAATCCGCGAGGTTGGCTGCGCTTTGCGCCACGGCAACCGTGTTTGGCGTTCTTCTTTTTGTTGATGTTTTTTGGTCTTTTTCTGAAAATTGAAACAACACAATCGGTCAAAATTGACATGCACTCGCCTACACTTCTGGTCACCCTCTGCCGCTTCCCCTCTGTCAACACGCTGACATAAAAGCCATCCGGCTCACATGTCTCGGTGCTCGGGCCCGACGCGCATCACCCTTTATCGAGCGACGCAAACCAACCAAAGACCAAAAAAAAAAACCACCGAACCCAGGATCGGATCGCTCGTATTTCGCTTTTCCTACTTTAAGCCGCATTCTGATGTGTCGGTAACATGCGCATATGGACTTTTTGTACACTGCGACTTTGCTTTGGAAACAAAAACCACATCATTTTTCTGTCCATTTCTGACCTCAGTCTCTCTTTTGTTTTGTTGTTGTTTATTGCTTTTGTTGTGTTTGCTTGTCTATCTTCGCTTCCCGCTTCAACACAACCCCAGCTTTTGACACCATCTCGTGCAACAAACACTAAAAGCAACAATGCACCCGACTGCGGTATCGCCGGGAGGTCGGCGCACCACCACCATTCTTCGTCGAAGCCGCGTCACGGCAACATTAACGCTGGCATTGCTCGTCGTTCTTCTTGCGGCAGTGCACCCAGCCCTGGCCGCCTTCAACCTGTTTGGCCGCCGCCAGGAGGTCAAGGACATTCATACGCACAAGCCCGAGTCACCCTTCTTGGAGAAGTCCGCCAAGGTGGGCCACCAGACGGTCGAGAAGGTCAAGGACGTCGGCTACGAGGCCCGCAACGCCTTCCTCATGGCCAAGGATCGCTCTGCCAAGGCCAAAGTAACCATCGAGGAAGGCGCAGAGGAGCTCAAGGAAGGGGCCAAGCGGCGATGGGACTATGCGAAGGAGTCTGCCGAAGAGATTGCCGAGGCCTCACAGCACGGCTGGAAGAAGGCCAAGGCAAAGGCCAGCGACCTTTCCGAGGATGCGCAGGAGCGCTGGGAGGCTGCCAAGGACACGGCGGAGGACTACTTGGAAGACGTCAAGGAAGGCTGGGAGACGGTCAAGGACAAGGCCGAGGACATTACCGATGCCGCTCGCGAGAAACTCGGCGCAGCCAAGGAGACGGCCGAGAACGTGGCCGAGAACGTCAAGGATACTGCCGAACGTGGCTGGGACAAGGCCAAGGACACTGCCGAGGACATTTCTGACGGTCTTCGTCATCGCTGGGAGCAGGCCAAGGACAAGGCCGAAGACATCAAGGACTCTGCTGGTCAAGGCTTGCGCAAGGCGAAGGGCAAAGCGGAAGATGTCGCCGACAACGTCAAGGACAAGGCTGAAGACGTGGTCGATAGTGTCAAGGATAAGGCTGAAGGCGTCAAGGACTCTGCCAAGCGTGGCTGGAACCGTGCCAAGGGCAAGGCAGAGGACGTTGCCGACGATATTCAAGACAAGGCGGAAGACATCAAGGACTCGGCCGAGCGCGGCTGGAATCGAGCCAAGGGCAAGGCTGAAAATATTGCAGACAATGCCAAGGACACTGCCAAGCGTGGCTGGAACCGTGCCAAGGGCAAGGTGGAGGATGCTGCGGAAGACGTCAAGGACTCGGCCGAGCGCGGTTGGGGCAAGACCGTGACCAAGGCCAAGGATGTCGCCGACGACGTGTCCGAGGCTGTGGACGATGCCCAAGAGAGCTGGGACGAGACCAAGGAGGAGGCCCTGGGCGCTTGGGAGAGCGCCGTGCACCAAGCACGCCGAGCTTGGCGTGAAGCGACAGGCAACCTGGAAGACGCAAAGGGCAAGGGCAAGGACAAGTGGAATGACATCAAGGACGAGGCCAAGGACAAGTGGAACGACATCAAGGACGAGGCCGAGTCCAAGTGGGTGGACTCGCGCAAGCACCTGCGCGAAAAGTGGGACGAAACCACGGACAAGCTGCAAGACTCGCAGGGCGACCTGCCCGAGGATGATGTGCACAACATGGACGTTCGCCGGCACCTCCGTCCAAAGTGGGACGCGTCCACCAAGGCGTCGATTGAAACGCTGGACGACATTGCGGCCAAATCGTTCGATTCTCGACGACACCTCCGCGGCAGCTGGAACAATGACAATCTCCAGACCGACTCGGACGACTCCAAGATTGAGTGGAACCTGCCCAAGGAGTGGAAGGACACTCGCAAACACCTCCGCCACAACTGGGACAAGGTGACGCGCGAGTACGAGAAGGCGACCGGTCAAAGGCAAGGTTGGTTGAGCTGGATTGGCTCCAAGCTCGGCCTCGGCGACAAGGACAGTGCCATTCGTCGCGCGGGCTCCACTGCCTCGGAGTCCATTCAAGGCGCGGCCAGCTCGTTCGCTGAGAAGGCTCGCAAGGCCACGGAAGATCTGACGGCCGACGAGGTTTCGTTTGGCCCGGAAGGCAAGGGTTGGTTTAACTTGGACAATGCCAGCACGGTGGAATGGCTCAACTGGGTGCTGCTGTTGAGCTCTGGCGTGTTGGCCACGTTGGCCGTTGCTGCGACTGCCTACTACAATGGCTGGCTTCAATCGCCCTGGACTTCCGAGTACAGCGGTCGGGTGTTGCGTGTCAACGCCGTGCCCGTCCGTGGAGCTACCGCAACCCGCATCACCTCTCGCAAGACCCGCCGCACTTCTCGCGATCTGGGCGAGGAGCTAGAGGATGAAGGCACCCAAGTTACCGAGACATACGAGGCCGAGGAAGCGGTTGTGGCACCTCCGATTCACCCGTCCCCGCGCGCGACCAAGCACAACCTGCGCAGCAAGGACTTTACCTATGCCGAAGCTGTTGGCAACGATGTTGAGGACATTGACTCGGCCTTGGAGCACCAGCAAGAAAAGTTTGCCAAGGGTCACTACACACCAACGCGAGCCCGTCACGTCGATGCTGGCGGCCGCGAGGTGCGTGGACATTGAGCTATTGGTTCGGTGCTTGTATGTTTGTTTTGTGTTTGTAAAGGTGTAGAATGCAGTTTTTTGTTGGTTTTGTTTGAAACGTGCTGAACAATGCGTGCTTTTGGGCCAAAAAAAAAAATGAAAAGCGTTGTTCCAGAATGAAAATGTGCTAGTGCCTGATTTATTGCAACATTGAGGTGTGCAACCAACGTCCGAGCAACAGAAACAAGACATTGAAATAGCCAAGAACCTGCATCACGGGAAGAGCTCGCGCGAGTACAAGCCGCCAACAACGGGACGCGCTTGGAAGCCTTTCTGGGCAGAGGTCGTCGTTTCGTACCAGTCTGCAAAGCATGGCAAACAGAGCGTTCAACAGCAGATGATTGTTGGTGATCAATGGACAACGTTAACAGAGCGTTCAACAGCAGATGATTGTTGGTGATCAAAATGGACAACGTTATCGCACAAACCACAGCGTCCTTACCAGTAAACGGCACACGAGGGGTCGTGTTGTGCAAGAACAGATAAATCTTGTTGTAAATAGCGAGGAATTGATCGTTGGTGCCCATCGCAGCAATGTACGACTCCCAGTCCGTCTTGGTGAACGTGGCACGCGAATCCATCGGGATGCCATACGCCTTCATCTGCTTGGCATAGTAGGCTTCTTCGGTTTGCATGACACTGGCTGGGAACAGGCCGAGGTTGAGAATGCGATCATAGATCATGTTGTACTTGAACGACCAGCTCGATGGCTAATAAGGAGCAAACATTTAGAACAGATCTTGCCCCCCCCCCACACTACCGTCCAAATGACACACAAATCCGCAACAGCCAGTTGAGAGACTTACCAAGCCAAACTGCAGGTTGTAATGGTCGGTCGCGTTGGCAGCCGTCAGCCAGGTCTGAACGTAGTTTTGAGCGATGGCGAAATACTTGGCAGCACCGACATGGTCGTTGTTCAGGCCGAGAAGCAGACTGTATGCACCAATGCCCAAAATGCCCTTGACACTGAGATTGGTGTTGTTGGGGCTTGGGCCTTCGAAGTCATCCGTGCACAGCTCGTTGCCTGGGTACGGGAGGCTCGCCACCAAAAAGTCGGCCCAGGTCTGCAGAAGAGGCCAATAAGGCTGGAGGTAGTCCAGCGAGACGTTGCGCTGGGCAGCCGCGGCAATCATGAGCAGCAAGTTGCCAGACTCCTGCCATTGAAGACAAAAACACATCTCAAAAAAAATGAGGACGGACTCGCTCAAGTGCACGTTGACGAGATTCGATACGTTCACTTGCCTCGATGGGCATCTGTTCCTGTTGGCCAGGGGCAATGTTGCAAACGGGCCATGTGCCGAGGTGATGAGGTGCCTGCCAAAAGCCAAACAAAAAAACGACACAGAGTCAGTCAGATCAAGTCAGATCTAATACCACAAAGACAAAACAGCACTTTTTCTGTTCTGTGTTACCCAGGCCAGGTTGTAAGGAATGCTCGTCTCGTTGTTGCCGTACTTGAGGACGGGCAGCATCAGCTTGGTCACCAGAGTCGGGTTGAGAGCCAGGAAGAACGGGGCGGCAGGGAAGATGACATCGACGGTGCTGACGTCGCCATCGCTGCTAATCTCCTTCATGAACAGGAACACTTCCTTGGTGGCAGGGTCGATGGTGAACTTGGTGGCGCCGGTGGTTTGGCGGTACGCCAGCGCCAGCGAGGTCGTGTAGGCGTCCGAGCCGCGCTTGTCGAGCCACGCCAAGAGTTGCTGGTCGCGGGCCTGAATGTTGGCCGTGTAGGTCTGGTACTGGCGGTGCATGAGCTGGATGACGGTGGAAATGTCACCAATCGTGTAGGACCACAGCGGGGGCAGCAGGCGGCCAAAGTAGTTGATCGAGTAGACGTCGTCGTAGGACAGCGAGAGGAAACGCGAGACGACGCTGCCAGACGCCGGAACTGCGAGGCCAGTCCAGCGCAGCGCAAGAACAATCCAGTCCTGGTTGCAAGGGCGGGGTTGGTTGGTATCGACGGCAGGCAAGCTGCTGCCAGCGGCAAAGGCGTTGCGGGCAAGCGCGGATGAGGCAAGCGTGCTGGCGAGCTGGGGGTCCTTGGGCGCAGACAAGTAGGCAAAGCCCCAGTCGATCTTGACGCCGTCGCCAGTTTGTCCAAGAACTGCAGCCAAAACAGCGAGATAAGAGTTGGCAGCACACCTCAAACATGCCAATCATCATCGTGCAACGGATGCTTACTGTTCTGGGCCTGAGTACCAACACGAAGAATGACATCCGACGGCGCGTTGTTGAGCGAACCCCAGACAACAGAGTGGCTTGGGTCGGAGACGGCCAGCTCGGCAGTGTGATCAAAGTACAGGTCGACCGTGTGTGCGCGGCCATCAACGGAACGAACGGCAAAAGTGACATAGGTCAGGGGAATGGACATGGACTCTTCCTCGTCGACAAACGCGGGCGTTGCGAAAGTGACATCAAGGCGAACGCCGGCTTGCGTGAACGAGTAGACTGTCGACAGCGGGAAGACCTGCGAGGGGAAGCGAGGCGGCGAAATTCAAAAAAAGGTTGTTTGAGCTGTTGCAACTGAGCCGCCGACAATGCACCCGTCGTTGTGGACTGCAACTTTTTTTTGTCTATTACCTGAACGGAGGTCTGTTGCATGGCGGGAGCGTTGATGCCACCGCCCTGAGGTCCCAAAAAGCGGTATGCCGTGTTGTCGATGCGCAAGCCACCAGCGAGCGCCATGACCTGGCCACTGTTTCCAACAAGCAAGTCAGATATTCCCAGTGAGTATTTTTTTTCTGAGACAGTGTTTCAACTCTGCTAACCAACGCGGAGGAAAACCCACTCATCCCATTGTTTCACATTTTTCCCATCGGGTTTTCGCTCGCTGTGAGTTTCTTTTGATTGTCTCCATTTTGTTTTAAACTTTCCCCTCACTAGTTGCTTATTTACAGATTCTTGTTGTTGTTGTTGTTGTTGTTGATTGTTGTTCTTGCTTTGCTGTTGTTTGCCGACGGGTTCAATCAGCAGCCAATTCAGCACTTTGTTTGTTGTTTGTTTTGTTTTCGGTTTCGCTTTGGTTTCCATTCACAGCGCGATTCAAAGCATGACATGCACATGCATTTGCACTGCATCATGTTCGCAGTTGCATTTGATGACTCATGTGATCGAAGGGAGTGTGTGTGCGGTTTTAGCAATAAAAAAAAACCCGCGCTCTTTTTAAGGTTGATTCAAACAAACAGCGCGCAAGCCACCGAGCGAAAAATCCCACAGCCAGACAAGACAAGACAAGTCGCTGTTTCTGTTTCTGTTCTGCGCTTCTTTTTCATCTTCGTCTCGCGTTTTCATTCGCTCGTGTTTTGGCTTCAAAAAACAAGACCATCGTGAACTCGGTTCATAATCGATAATAATAAATGTGCCGTTATTGCGTTTTATGATTGTTTGGCTTTTTGGGCTTTTCGATGCTGAAATCAGCTGCGATTTGTTGAGCGACGGTTTTGAAAGATCAGCAAAACCAACAACCACTCATATTGAGATTGAGAGAGAGAGAGTGAGAGAGTGAGGGCGAGGTAGAGAGAGAACAAGGGAAACGAAACAACAACCCGCTCCGTTTTTCACCCGCGGGCTGATAGGCAAAACGTACGTCCAGTGGGTCGACCAGCCGTCAGTCAGGTTGTCGTAGGGCGACCAGATGGAAAAGTACGGGTCGACGACGGCGAGCGGCACCGACGGCGGACGAAAGCCCGGAATGAGCCCAGCGAGCGACGGACCCGCGGCAGACAGAACGAGACACGCCAGCAAGCCAACCAGAGCGCGCTGATGCATCATCACCAGGAAAAAGGAGAAATGAAAAAAAAAATGACTGAGATGATGCACAAAAGTGTAGGGAATCCAATCATACGGGCAGAGAGCAAAATCTGATGCGTTTCTGCATGATTTCGTGAACGCCAACATTACATACAGTAATCAATCGAAGGTTGTGGTGTTGAGCTGGCATTGTGTCGAAGCTCAATTGAACAATTTGACAATGTTCAGAAATACTGATAATGTCGGAATACGAGGAACGCGGTTGAAAGTTCAATCGAACGAAGGCCGCCGAGACCGGAGCCAAGACAACCATCACCACCGCCTCCTCCCCCTCCACGCCGTCGCAGCTTTTCTCCCCTTGTTAAAGTTCGGTCGGGTATGTCTTGTCAGTGGGGGGGACGGTTTTATTGCTGTTGGAAAACCTCGAAAACGATAAATCAAGGATCAGTCTGATTGTTCGGATTGGTTGCTTTGTTTCTCCAAGTGTCATGTCTAGCGCAGAGGCTCTACTCAACCTGCTGGCCAAGAGATGTCCGACCACTGCAGATGGGCACCAGCCTTGTTGGCACGCGTGTCATGCCAAGTTGGCGGAAATCGAGAAGAGCCAAGAAGCGCGTTCTTTGCGATCTTTCGTTCAGTCCGTTTTCCAAACTCAAATCTCAGACGAGCTCGAGCTGGTCACGCTGTCAGAACTGTTGAACAGCACCTCCCCCGGGCTTTGCTATGGCATAATGGTCCTACTCGCTCTGAGAGCCAGCTACACTCAGTTTATCCTTGAGCGCAGCCCTGAAAGGCTTTTGCCCGCCTATGGAATGGCCAAGACTTTTTGCGTCAGCTTTCAGCCGTGCTCTTGCGGCGAGGACAGACTTCCAAGCGCTCTGCGAGAGCCCTACGAGGTCATCCCGATTCTCTATGCTTGCCTGGAGAATGACACGGTCTGCAAGCAGAGAGAAGTTATCGACACTCTGAAACGGTTTGGGAGCGTCGTTCATCTACAAGCCGATTGCCCCCAGCTTGGTGAACTTGTCGAGAAGCTGCTGAAAATTGGCTCTCCAGAGGCGCTATGGGCTCGGTTCAATCTGGCTTTCAAGTCCCCGGCCGCGCTGCTTGTGCCTGTCGCCGAGCTACAACAGTTTGTGTCGGGCGATCCCACCGTGCTTCCGTCAATCATCACTCTTGGTCATCAGACCGCCGAGGCTTTCCAGCCAACATCTACTGCTGGGGTGCTCACGCCAGTCGATCAAAATCTGTCCCTGCCTGCCAGCGTTCACAATTGGACTGCGTTACATGTTCAGCAGTGGCTTTTCGAGGGCGGGTTTGGCCAGTTTACGACCGGTTTTGCTGACATTGACGGCGAACGTTTGTTGCAGCTCGATCGTGCTGACCTCGTGCTGCTCGCGCAGCCACATGCAAACACCAAAAGGTTTGTTCTGCTGCAGTTAGATGTTGATCGCCTCAAGCGTAAGCGTATTCCATGATGCATCTATGACCAGTCCAGCCGATGAGCTCACGACAGGTTTGATTGTAGGGGAACAAGCAACGCGGGACCGTACAGTGGTAGTTGTGCAACCGTTCAAGTTCACCATCAACAAGCCGCGGGGGCTTGTCCAGGGTCAGGCCACGCTGCGGGCCACCGCACGTTCGACTATCAAGGTGACCCTAGAAGTGCCACTAAACAAACCAGACTGTTTTCATGTGGTGGCCGATCTCTCGGGCAGCTTTGAGCTTCAAGGGAATGAAAGCGGGCTTTCCCGTCGCTGGATCATGGGCGGAGTTGACATCAACGATCCTCAAGCAATCCTCGCCGCGAAATCCGTTGCTTGTCACTTACAACCGTCCATCTCAGATGGATTGGGAGGTCCTGAACCCTTTGCGTGGCGCAAGACAGCGACTGAGAATTCGGTGCTGTGGAAGACGAACAACTTTTGCCCAAGCCATTCGTTTTCGCGTGCTGGCAGCATTTCAACGCTCACTTTAAATTGCTTGTACACACTCCCGAAAGTCGCCAATCCCGAAGCGCGAGTGGTCAATCTACGGATCATGTTCATTCAGCTGTTGCATGATGATGATGGCCACCGCTACCCCGTGTCCGCTGTCGAGCAGGCTCATCACGACGGCTTTGCACTTGCCATCAAACTGAGTGAACTTGGTCACCGGGATTTGCGTACTTCTCGTGTCGTGTCGGTCCAGGCGTGATTTGTTTTCTCTAGCTTGACGTGCAAAGTCGAGACATCAGCTCGGGACCTGTTACTCGCCGCTTCCAACAAGTTGTTATGGTTTTGTTTTTCTTCGTTGTGATGTTTTTCTGCAAATCCAATTTTACATTTTGTCTGCACCGAGCAACCGCGCCTTGTGTGGGGAAGACTGTCGTAGATCTATGTCGAGCAGATGTGTTTGAATCGAGATGGATCAGCCATTCCATTTTCATCGCCACTCTTCCTTTGTTTTACTTTTTTCACTGTTCCCCAAATGCTGAGCAGTCTGCGACCTTTTGCTTCTTCTGTCTTGGCGACGGCTCCACGCTTGAGCAAGTCAACGTCTGCGACAAAGACCCGCTCATTCGCAGCACTCGCCTTCCGCGGTGCCACCGCCACCCGCATCACCGTTCCTGTATGTCTCTTTGTCTATGACAGACCACTGCCTTGTGGGAATTGGGAAGTAAGAGTTATCGAGAATTTTATGTCTTGGTGCCCCCCTTTTTAGGAGTTGTTTTTGCCAACTTTTTTTTTTTTCGCCCTATGTCCACGCGCCGTTTGCTCCTGCGTGAATATGTGACTGTTCACTTGAGATTTACCACTGCAATCACATCATGCACGATGCCAAACGTTGTCCGAGTTCTAACTTGCCGTTTTCTATGAAATTACAATCAGCAGAACGGAACAGTTGTTGATCGCGCTTTCCAGCAGCGGACTTCAATGCCAATTGCTCGGCGTTCCCTGTCGGTCTTGACGCAAGGGCAAGCGAGAGCCGCGACAGAGAATGCTGCTGCGTCCACCTCCCATGCTAGCTCTGTGAGAGAGAATTGTGCCAGTTGTTGTGTGTGTACTGGAAAACTGACGAGTCATGCGCAAGCAGAGTGCTGTTCAAGCGAGTGCTGTTGAAATGAGTGCTACTCAAGCGAGCAACAACAGCGCCAACCAGGCAGCACCCCTGCCAGTCAGTTCCACTTGGTTTCCGAGGTAGATGGTGTGCTGCATCAAAGACTCACAATTTTTTGCTTTTCATAGGTCCCTGCTCATCTCAAAGCTGCTGATGAGCAGCAGCAGTACCTTGCTTTGAAACACCCGCTGCTCCAAGAGCTGTTCCGTAAGTTTAGTTTGACGAGGGCGGGTGTCTTGATGCGTTGCTGACCGACTCCTTTTGCATGGACACGACAGAGGTCGAGTGGAAGCTTCCCAGTCTTCGCAAGCATCTCCTCATGGCGCTGGCTACCAATCCGCCCTCCACGCAGAATGAAGTGGACGACCTTGTCTGCGAAATCCGCAAGTTCTCGTCCCAATCATCTGCTGGGGATGTGGCTAAAGCGCACGCTTCAAGCATGGCGAACAAGGACGAAACGCACATCGTCAAGAGAGCTCGCCTGGCTGTGGAGAGGCTTCTCGAGTCTATTAAAGCCTGGCTGCGAACTCTCGGTGAGTTGTTGTTTTTCGGATACTTTCACTAATCTTCCTGCATTTTGCTTTTGAAGTGGTGAAGCATTCTTGAATACACGATGTCACCCATAGTCCTCTTTCCAAACAAAACTTCAAAAGAAATAAGCCCCCATTGGAGTGGAGCCTTCAGTACGCCTCCGATGCCACATCGGCCTGTGTATTTCACCTATTTCACACATACAAATGCTGAAGCATCGCAAAGAGGTTCACAAAAAGAGCAATGCAAGAGCGAAAGGGGATGGTACTGCTGTCGACCAACATGGCTCAATTTTGTTGCGAATGCGCGCATTGAACTCTGGCGCGATGTCACTTCATTGTGAATTGCGCTTCGTCAGAAGAGCGCCTTGATGACTGCTTTGTGCGGTCGTACGGGATCGCTCCTTTTCCGTGACGCGGAATTCCCTGCGGTGCGAGAAGTTTCTCCACCATGGAGTTATCCCGAACTTCGCTGCTTCGAAGTTCAATCACAATTAGCTGAGACTTTTGTCAATGGTGCGAGTCATGTTCTTGGCAGATTCGACCCTCGCGCTTGGACGGTGGAAATCGGTTCACATCAACTTCGTGTTGGGTATTGCTTCGATTTGACTCTGCTCGACGTTCATGCACTCGACGCACCTCCCACTGTCTTGTGCACCGTTGGCACTGCGCTTGATCCTGCGGGCAACGTCGGCTGGATGGCGTGGGTATTACAGCGGCAAGCATCAGATGCAAGTTGAGCTTTCATTTGTCACTGTGTTTTCTCTGTTTCTCTGGGTTTGTTTTTCGAATAAATTGAAGGTTTCCTCGGATTTCAGGCGGTTTTACCGCCACCTTCGTTGTAATCAGCAAAATAGCCTTGAAAGAGCTTGAAAGAACAAGCTGAGACTTGGCATGTTTGACGATGACACTAGCTCATTGACACTCAAAAGAACCCAATCGTGCGTCATAGACTAACAGTTCTTTGTCTGACAACAACAGCAAGAAAACACAAGAAACAGCAACATCTCAAACAATCAGCTCAATCAAGCATTCATCTAAATGGTTAACCTTGGTCCCCCTCTCTTGCTTCGTTATGCAGACTCCACGACAACGGACAGGACGGACGTTGCAGATGGCCGTGGCTTGTCCTCGACAGCGGCGGGCGCGCTCCCGCTGGGTGAAAGACTTGAATCGGTGTCGTCCTCCTCCTGATCGACGTGAGGACTAACAAGCCGCGAGGTCGATGCGGTCTCCAGTTCGTGGAAGGCCTCGGGGTTGGCCAGAATGGTCTGGTTCAGGATGTGTGTGAATCCAGACAAGATGGTTTCGAGCTCGGACGTCTCTTGCCGTAGCCGCTCGACGCGTTTACCCGTGATGGTGGAGAATCGCACGCAGAGACGCAGGGCAGCGCCAAAGTCTGGAGGCACCGTCTGGTCCAAACCACTGCGCGAGCTAAGGTTGCTGACAGTGGTCGAGACGTACGATGCGGTGGTGCCCGACGCAAGGGCCTCTGCCTCGTCGACGAGCGTTTTAAGACCGGCGCGAACGAGATTTTGCTGGCGAACGCGCTTCGCCTTGGCCGTGCGGTACTCGGCGTACACCTCGTTCAGATTCGAGCCAATCATGGTCACAGGGAAGGCAATGACCAAGAGGCCGCAGAGCATGGTGATGGACGCGACAATCTTGCCGCCGGGCGTGACAGGAAACTGATCGCCATAGCCCACTGTGGTTATTGTCACAATGCACCACCAGAACGCCGCAGGAATGTTTTGGTAGGGCGTCTCGTACTGGTTGCCGTTGAAGCTACACGTCCACTGCTTGCTGACGTCGTCGACGGTGCAAACGGACGTTTCGGCATAGTACATGCACGAGCCAAACACAACCTGGGACATGACCACGAGAAGCAAGAGCAGCAGGATGCCTTCGCGAGATCGGGAAATGGCAATGATGACCAGGCGCAGCTGCTCGAGCTTGCTGGACATTTTGAACAGACGCATGACGCGGAACAAACGGAGAATACGGATGATGGTGGCGGCGCCGACCTGACTCTCGCCCACGGTCGCCGTCAGAATGATGTCGACAAAGTACGGCAGGATGGCGAGCAGGTCGATAATGTTCATCGGTTGCACGACAAACAGCAGCGTCCGCGGAGCTGTGACCAGGCGGCCAATGTAGTCAAAGCAAAAGCCGACAATGATGATTGTTTCAAGGGCAAACCAAGTGTCCTTCTGCTCCGAGTACTCGTTGAAGCTGAGCACTGTGCCCAGGCAGAACGTGAACGTCGACAGAATGATCAAGAAGAACATCAAGAGCTGGTAGTAGTACGCGTACAGCGAGTAGTTTGCGTCCGACAGGAACAGAAAGATCCGGCTTCGGAGCGACAAGTCTGCCAGCGATCGGCCTCGACCGCGGTGCTTTTTCGGCCGACCTTTCTTGGACTTTCGCTTTTGCCGCTTTGCTTTTGCCTCGTCAGAGAGGACGGTCGCGCTCGACATCCATGCGAGCCGTGGTTGTGATCCTTCAGCAGCATCATTGGCGGTAGCATTGGCGCCTTTTGCTCCTGGTTCTGAGCCCTGCTTGCCACCGCCGCCGTTGCCCGTCGGTTTTAGCTGCGACTGTGTTCGTGCCCTTGCAGCGAGTGGAGCTCCTGGTGGCGCAGCCTGGCTGCTGTCCCACTGTGCGGTTTCAGCTCCACCCACGCCCATTCCCGCAGCAGCAGCAGCAGCAGCAGCAGCAGAAGCAGCCGCGTCGTCCGCATGCCCATCACCCGCACCATCACCCGAGTGTTGTTGCTGTTGCTGCTTGTAGCCAGCTGTGTGGCCATGCAGTTGGTTGACGTGCATTGCGCCAGTCCTGGTCGTATACTGTTCTACGTCCTCGTTTTCTACGTCCCCGTCGCTGTCCCCATTCTCCTCGTCGTCGTCGCCATCCTCGTCGTCATCCTCGTCGTCATCGCCTGCCTTGTCAAAGTACATCTCCATGGCGCGGCTGGGCTGGTACGACAGATCACCGGTGCTGTCGCCGCGATTCAGCCGCGAAAAACTGCCGCTTCGCTCGCCAAATCCAAAGTTGGTCCCGTCGAGCGCCGCAGAGCCCATCGAGGTCGTGGGCGTCGACTGGCCTTCCATTGCGTGGTGTGCTACAGTCGCTGCACCTCCAGCGGCACGGCGCTGCGTCATCAGCACGAGCTCGGCCGGATTCACCATTCGTGGGAATACGGGACGTACAAAATCAAAAAAAATAAAAAATAAAAAAAATAAAAAATAAAAAATAAGGGGCTGTTTTTTTAAAAAGGTAGAATGGCCATGTCTTTCACTCCTCTTGCATCACCTGGCTCTGTATGTGTTCGCCCCTGCCCTGCAACCCCCCGCCCGAGGGAGTAGACCATGTTTCTATGCCACTCGGTGTATCGGACGGCGCGCCCGGTCCCACTGGCAGCGGCAGGGCCGCGAGCAGTGGGTGACAATCAGCGCGGCGGCGTCACAGCAGGTCCCTGACAGCGGGCTACCGTTCCACATCGAACAATTCATCTGATCATGTATCATAGACAATGTCTGGCAGGGGTAGGAGGAGCTGGGGGATGGGGGAGCGCATGCGTGTCGACCTCCTTTGCTCTTCGCTTGGTAGACCATGCTCGCTCACTTTCGCTTCCTCTCTCGCGCGGACAGTTGATTTTACCTACCTGTGACGATGGCAGCTCGGCGCGTTGGCGGCGGGGACGATAGCGCTGCGGACAAGGCGTATGTGTCGATCGCACCCCCAGCCCCGCTCATCAACCCTGGTCCGCAGCCAGGCTATGTCTCTCTGCAGATCAACGTCGAGTTTCCTTCGTCGTTCAAGTATTCGCCAATGGCTAACGCTCTGTCCAGCCAAGAACTTGGCGCACATCGTGTCAAGCAGCGGCGACGTGCTGAAGCTCTTGAGACCGGGCGCAACATCCTGTCGACTGTCAAGAACACCGTCGTCAATCAATGGCCGAGCGATCAAACGCTTTGGAACGAGATCCTTTCGGAGACGAAGGTCACCGACGATAATGACATGACGAAACGCGCGGATGCATTGCTGACGGATCTTGGACTACGATGGCAGCGGGCAACCCGCCCTGCCGACCGTCGACGCATCCTCTCAACCATTGCACCATTCTTCCAGCTCAAGCAGCTTCAACCACACTTCCCCGGCCTCGAATATCGCGCACTGACGGCCGCTCGAAAGCACGGCAAACACAATGGTCCTGGCGTCCCGGCGGCGCACGTCGTGATTCCCAGGAACAGTCGGGCCAGCGCACATGATGAGCGAATCCTCGCGTTTGCCATGGCGACCGGTACAGCATCCCCGACCGCGTGCACTGTCGACGGTCAGCCAGTCATCTACCTCAACATGACTCTCAATCAGATCTACAAGCGCTTCCTTGCCAAGTACCCTGGCGAAGGTACCAAGCCGATTGTCTCCCGGAGCAAGTTCTATGACGTGCTGCAGTCATCGGGCGTAACGTTCGGCGAGCGTAAAGTCAAGACCGGCCTTTGCGCGACCTGCAACCGTGGCGTGACGATTTTTCGCGAAATCCTTCCGCTCCTCATTCACCAGGCGAGCTCGGCTGGCGCCATTTCCTTGGAAATGGACGAGCGCCTCTGTGCTTTTGCCACGCTCGCTGAGGGTCATGCAAGGACTATAGCGAGCTCTGCTGGGAAGATGGAGCATCACCCGCACCCGCTACATTGCGAGCTCTTCGCCTTCGGCCTCTGTCACGAGGAGCACAATTGTTTTGTCGACGGTCACAGCTCTTGCCCCGAGTGTGCCCCACTGCATGAGCTGATTCTACAGCTCAATGGCGCTCTCTCGGGCCCGAACGCTGACCTCCTCAAACTGGCCTGCAACGACCTCGTCCTTGTGAATGCCCACCATTGGCGCGCGGCCGCTGCCAAGGCCGATTTCAACGAGGCCCTCGAGAATCTTTCGGAAGGTCGCCTGATGATCGTGGTGGATTTCAAGGTCCGTTTTTTTGCGAGCGATGTTGACCATGATACCTCATTTGCACGTGACTCACCAACCGCGCTAAAGATAGATGAAGGTGCTCCAGAGTTCTGCTCGAGAAGTGCAAGTTGACTTCTTTGGCAAGCATGGCTTTCCGTATCATGGTGCTGTGCTCCTCTGGATGCATCAGGGGGTGCGGCACATGCATATGCTTGATCACTGGAGCGATGTTAATCGGCAGGATTGGGTGTTTGTCGGCCATGCGCTTGAGGCCATCGCTGGCTTCACTCGGTCAATGATTCAACACAAGAGGATGCCGCCGTAAGTGCTTATGTGAGGCAGGTGATGGACGAGTGTGTGTGCGGTGATTTACTTGTGTTTTTTTCCGAGCGAGCAGAATCACATCGGCCGCGCTTTACAGCGACAACGGCGCTTCGTATTCCAACAGCGCTTTGCCTGTGTGGATTCAGCGCCGCTTCAAGTTACTGTCCGGGTTTCCGATCACAGATATTCACCACTTTGAGCCCGGCGAGGGTACGTTCATGTGCAGGTGTTTATTGACTGCTTCTCCGCTCATTGATTCCATAGGCAAGTCCTACTGTGACACGCACTTTGCAGCAATCACGCACGCGCGCATGCACTGGATCCGTAACGGGAACGACCTCATGACCGGGCTGGATGTGGAACAAGGTTCGTGCATGACGCAATCTCAAATGTGTGCCTGCGTTTCTGACTCTCTTACGACTCAGCCGCACAGAGTGTGACCAATACAACTGTCATGGGCATCAACTTCTCGCCCTCAGTTCTCAAGCACTACGGCAACAAGTCACCCGTGTCGCCAATCCCCGGTCTCGATGCGGCGATGCACATTGTCATCACCGACGCTGGCCTTGAAGCATACCGCATTCGCGATTACCGCTTGCTTGCCACATGGAACGCAACCGATCATCCCGACCCGTTTCTTCCCACGTTCGGCGCAAGCGTGAGCCGGGCTGGCATCGTCCTTTGGAGCGCCGATTCTGAAACTCACGAAGCGCTTCGTGCCGACCGCGACGCTGCCCTGGTCGACCACTGCGACTTTCACTCGCCGCCGTCGTCGATAATCAGCCACGAACCGCATACACCACCACACAACAGTCAGCAACAGCCAACCGCCCCTGGATCGCCTACGTTGCTTCGGGCGTTCACGCAAGCTACACCGCTGCATCGGAACTGTGTTTGTCCATCAGCATGCGGCGCAAAGTTCAGCTCGCCTGACGACTTGAGAGCGCACACACGGATGGCACATCGCTCTGCGAGCCCCACGACCATCGCCGCTGCCGCTTTTGCAGCCGCCGCCGACGCAGCCAAACCCCCTTCCGATGTCGAGGACGCGAACGAGGACGATGAGGATGACGAGGACGATGTCAACGACCACGACGAAGAGGATGACGAGGACGATGTCAACGACCACGACGAAGAGGATGACGAGGACGAGGACGAGGAGGATGAATATGACGACGACGACTCCGATGACGATGATCACAACCACGACGAGGAGGACAGCCGTCTGCGGGCTTCAATCTATCCCCGGGATGTCCCGTTGTACGCACAGGCCACGCTCCTCCAGTACACAGCTCGCACGGGTCGGTCATTATCCGTGCAGCGAAGTTGGACAGCGGAAGAACGGACAAGCTTGGCAGCGCGACTCGAAGTTACTCCGGGCTACGCGCTCATCACGGCCCCTCGCCGCCCGCGTCTCCCAACCGCGATGACGATTTTCTTGCGGCAGCGATTCGACGAGGGTATTGATGATCCCAACCGCCGGCACGACAACAGTGTGTACAAAGACTTTGTCCAGCGTTTTGGAGTCGTCCAGTCTGCGTTGCACTCTGTCACCCAGCAGCGCATCAAGTCGCTGTTTGTTTCCTGGGCGAATCGACGCGACTCTCAAGCTGTCAACAACCGCAGTCCAGCAGAAGTACTCTCACCATCAGCGGCAGCACCGCGAGGGCGCAAACGACGGCGTCAGAACGACGAGGATATCTTCTTCCGCGCTGACCCGCACAACGATCTCGATGAGGCAGCAGACAACGAGCACACGTCTCTGCCCTCGTTTGACGACGAGGGCGACTACGAACCCCAAGCAAGGTTTGTCTCAGTCTCTAGTTCGCAACGCCGAGTCCGAACTCGCAGCAGTCAACAATCTCCACCCCCAGACGATAGTGATTAATTGTGCGAAGAATAAAAGAGTTACATTTGGCGGCCTCAGGCCAAGGGGAGGTTGGGAGGTTGGGTGGTTGGTGAAAAAGTTGGTGTAGTAGCTGCGGGTGGCGGAATCGTCCCCTATTTCGGACCAATTATTGTTGGACAAGGTGAATCTGCAACAGAATGTAGCAGCGGCGCAGATCAGGGGGCCGGAAAATAGCACCAGCGAGTCAGTGAGCAAAACGACCGCGACACAACGGCTCCTTCACTCGCTCCCCTCTGCCGCCCAACGCACTTCCGGTGCGCCCCCGACCCTCGATCACACTGATGGCATGGTGTACACCCCACAGTCAGCGCCCCCAGCGACGGAAAGCGATGTAGGACATGTGCTGGATATGAACGACATATTTTGGGGGGTTCATTCTACCTTTTTAAAAAAACGACCCCATATTTTTTATTTTGCTCGCTGCTGCTCCGATATGACTCGAAACCCCCCCCCCCGCTCCCGGTGTTCATCAGACGTTCGGTACACCGTACCATGAATAAACATTCCGCGGGCGAGACAGAAGTCAACCCAGGTCCCCAGGGAGGGCGCAAAAGTGAAAAAAAGAGGGGGGGGGGTCGAAATTTAATGATCGAGATCGTATTCTTCACACGACAAGACATCAACAAACAAACAAACAAACAAACAGTCAATCAATTAAAAAAAATCGAACAACTAAACAAACAAACAAGCAAACACACATGCATTCAGTCACAGTGCATCTACTTGTTCACTCGCTTGCAGCTGCTTATGGCGTGGAGCCATCAGCGCCAAGCATCGGCGTGGCTGCCGCCTGCGCCGCCTTTTGCTCTTGGTCCTTGATGTACTCCATCGTACTCAGTCCGTCTACAATTGGAGGCCAAGTGAGAGAGAGAGAGTGAGAGAGAGAGAGTGAGAGAGAGAGAGAGAGAGAGAGAGAGAGAGAGAGAGAGAGAGAGAGAGAGAGAGAGAGAGAGAGAGAGAGAGAGAGAGAGAGAGAGAGAGAGAGAGAGAGAGAGAGAGAGA